GTTTCAAAAAGTTTATTTTTTAATATAAAAAATAAATATTTCGGATTTCTAATATTTTTTTCATAGTAGTAGACAGTACAAAGTTTTTACTGATGTAGTTCATTTACTTTAAACATAGTAACTAATACTTAATAAATTAAGATTTTGATAGGTGCGGCGTATATATCGGGGTTACCCTATACTATAATTTAACTAATAACCGTCACTTTTACTGACGGATCGGTAACATAACTGATACAATTTATTTAAAATGAAAAATACAAAATAGCTACCAGAAAATTATTTAAAATACAAAATCGATGAAAAGTGATACAACTCATTTATAAAATAAAAAATTTTAAATAAGTTCCAAAAACGTGTTTAAAATATTAAATAAGATATAGATCAGAAGAAGTTATTTAAAATCATAAATACCAAATAACGTTTTAATTTTTTCTTTATTTAAAATATATATTTTAAATAAATTTATTTGAGATGAGACCGAGCCCTGCTTGCAGGAGACGATGAACAGTCGGATTGGATCGGAGAATCGAGTTGGCGGGACGACGGAGAGAGCACTAGCGACGACAAAGCCACATCGGATTCGACCTTCCAAATGATATTACACGGCGAACATTCGGTTGCAGAAGCCAAGAAAAATTATAGACAGAGAATACAACGCATTCGCGAAGGTCTTAGCGGTAGAGAGATTCGTGCTGGGCGACGTCACGTCGACAACAAGCCCGGTTATTCCATTATAACGTCAGCTAATGAGAAGGTCTCTCGGTTTCTGCAAGATCCTACACAGAGCGAACTGAAACTCCATCCTATGCGACAACCTGAGCGAGAGAAGCTACGTCGACTCGCCAATTTGTATAGTTTAAGTATGAAGGGCGATCAAGGCTGCCCGATACTGTATAAAACGCGACATACCACGCAGGCCGTGTGTGTAGATCAAGTATCATTGAACAGATTCTCAGACTACAAGAGATTGCGTAAGACACCGCCGAATTCTCCAAATTCAGACTCTACGATGCAAACAGAGGAGCCTCAGATTTCCAGCACGAGCTTTAGTCCACAAATTATAAATCAAGCGCAAAGCAATATTGGCTCTATACAAGCAAATGTACAAACATTATCTTCGTTTGAATGGGAAAGCGAAAGTATGGACATTGAAGTACAAGGAAAGCCAAAGTTTCCTGATTTTGGGCATTCCAAATCTAGTTAAAAAAAAAAAATATATATATATATATATTCATTGTTATTGTTTCTTTTAAATAATATGTATATGGCATATACACATGTATGTAAGTTTTCTGTATAAACTCTTTTATTTTACTATTAGAATTGGAAATGTTAATATTCGTAATAATTATATGACATGAAGAGATTCTACAAGAACTGTAATATAAATAAGTACTTCACTGCTTTTAATTAATAAATTTATAATTATTCATATATTATCGTAATTTACTATTGTAAAAATTGTAATATTTATACGCAACTGTTATAAAACTGGGAAAAATTATAGTATATGTAAGACTAATGGTTCAGAATCAAATTCACTTCCATATTCATATTAAAAAAAACCAGTTTACTTATCTTTTAAAATAATACATTAACTTCATCGCTTTCATAATTTACATGTTTAACATTTGAAGGCCATTCTATATTGGTCGTATCGTAGACATCGCAAGTCACAAGCTTGTTGCTTCAGCCAATCCGATGCTTCAATTTTAAAGTCACATGATGCTTCCAACGGTACGATATGACCAATTATATTACAATATAGTATAGTGAATAATCATTTACTGTACAATGTTTTTTAATTTTAAAATAAAACATATTTTGATCTTGAATAAATATCTATTAGATATTGAATAGATCAGACTTATAATACAGAAAGATATTTAAGAAACTTGCAAATGTTTGTTGTAATTTTATGATATTACAGTACAAGATTCAGATAGACGTTCATGACAAGATCATTTTTTAAATATTTTTTCTAGTTAAATTAATTTATCTGACCCTGTCTTTTAGCTGCTGGAATATTTTCATTGGCAATTATTTGAAACTCTTGAAAACGTTGAGATATCCTCTGGTTCATTTTCAAGTACTTTTCCATGCAATTAAGGGCGCATTTTTCTTCTTTGGCTCTGATTTCTCGCGTAGTGAAGTCAGATATGCAGTCGATAAAGCATATTTCAGAAAGCTTATTATATGAGGTTAAGAAATCTCGAAACTGTTGAATACAAATATACAGGTTATATTATACATGTAACAGTTTATCTCATTGAAGATGTATATATATCTATATATATATGTATGCATCTTATATAGATATATATAACTCGCATAACGCTAGTATACTTTTAGTCAGCTTATGGAATAACTAAACTATTGTTCAAGAATTAATGTTAGAAATACGTACAGATTTAATCTGATCCACGTCGGTCGGAACTTGCATCGCCATTGTCAAAGCTTAATATTTACACAAAATGTCTTTGTTAGCTTCTGCCTCTTTGTGTTCCCATAAATATCGCATCTAATTATACCAGACCACGCCAAATTCCGACGGGCGATTTTGAGGTTAGGATAAACACGTGCGCGCGATGCATGTACACAGTTACAATGTAGGTGTGGAACGTTGAAAAATAAAACTGACGTAAATGAATATTCGTTGGGTGCGTGACACTCTCGCCATCTATTGGTTGTAAAAAAGCAGGCGGTGTAGTTAACTCCCGTGTACTCTACTGTCGTCTAAGCTGCTTTTTAATCTTCATTTTTATAGATATTCAGTGCTTTTATTGCAAAACAAAACGTCTTTAGTCTTTTTTTTTTCTTATGTATTCGGTTCCTATCGGCGCGTTCTTAAACTATTTCCATTCATTTCGATTCTCGGCAGTTGGCAACCACAGAAGTTTGTTAACAACGCGACCGTTTGAATGAATTTTAAACCGCCGTTAAAATGATCGTCTGGTAAATGCAGTGCAATTTCCTCGACATTATTTGAACAAATATCGCTCTCCAATTCGACATTTTTAAACGCGTATACATTGATAATTGTAAATGCTGACGTTCCGTCTTCTTAAAGATCCCTGTATGATTTGCCGATCACAGTACCATGCGTAACTGACGTTCCATCACTTTCAAGGGTCTTATCGATCGGATCAGCTATTTGAAAGAGTGGGAGAAAAGCGAAATCAGCCGGGAAATTCATTCGCGCGCGAGTTTCGGATCCAGCTGCTGCCGAGCCGCAGCTGCATTTAAAAGGTAAGTTCGCGGAGAAATTTTTGAGCAGGAGCAGAACGCGCGGTGAAAGTCAAACGACGACCAGGCTAATTAAACGATTATTTAATCGCCGTTTCTGGAAGAAATCGGCGGATGTCCCAACGGCAAGAAACGAGCGACAGATGTGCCGTATCGATGTCAGATCAAGGCACGAAAAAGATCCGTGTCGTTGCCTGTTGTGTCACATTGGCTGCGTTTGGCAGAAAAAGCAGCTTTGCAATTGTTGTAAGATTTATTTAATATGATTGATTTATAGGCCCGACTTTTACACCGCAACGTTACTTTGCCTTTAATAAGCGAGGCTTGAAACTCTCACTTTCTCTCTTTAAAACTGAGAAAGAAAAAGAGAGAGGGGGGAGAGAGAGAGAGAGTGTGTGTGTGTTTTAAGCCTCGCTTAAAGTCGAGTAATGTTGATGCAATCGGGCTTTATATATTTAATTTCAGTGAGGAATTAAGGATAAGAAGCAATTATATTGAAGATCTTACGACAATTGCAAAGCTGCTTTTTCTACTGAATGCAGGTTATTATTTTCGAATGACGATCAACGATATTGTTATCGAGTTACATTGGCTACATTTGCAACGTGAATTTAGGCTGTGGCCTGTACCCCAAATTCAACCTAAACTACCTAGGTCCCTCGCTGTCGACACTTGACAAATAAAAAGGACTCCTACTCTGTAACTGGCTTTATATGCCTACTGACAGTTGTCGGTGTCGTTGCGCAGATATTTTATATGTGGTGAAAAAGCTAACAACAATTATAGAATAGGAGAAGAATAAAGTCCTAACATTTTCAAATTTGCCCTTTATTTTCTTTAAGAAAATATGGTCACCGTACCAGTGATATATGTCAATTTAAGATTAACAAACGACGGTAAGCCGATTTATTTCAGGTTATAGACGGCCTATTTCAAGTCAAATCATCAAAAACCGAAGCCCTATAGCTAAGGTAGCAACCATGTAGGTTTTTCTTGAGAGGAAACGTGACAAGGAAAAATTTTTACGTATGTATAGGTTCGTACACGTACACATATATATACAAAAAATTTTCCCTTGTCACGTTACCGTTCTAGCGAAAAAGCTCTCAAGGGAAAAAGCTACATGGTTGCTACCTTGGTTTGAAATAGGCCGTCTATAACTTGAAATAGATTGACTTACCACCGTTTGTTAAATTCAAATTGACATATATATTATTGGTACGGTGACTATATTTTCTTAAAGAAAATAAAGGACAAATTTGAAAATGTTAGACCTTTATTCCTATGTTTTCAAACCAATTTGTGACTATCAAGAATCTGTGCATTATAAAATTTTATTGGACAAGTGTAATCAAATTGCACAGTTTTCTAATAGTTTTAAACTGTATGATTCGACTGTATTGGAACAAATCTTTGATCTAAAATAATAAAAGATTCGAAATAATAAAAAATGAAAACAATTGTAGTTTGAATAAATGTGATTTTAAAAATTAAGACAAAAAATTAACAAAAACAAATTGTATTTATCTGCATGAAACTGTAAAATATTTTCCGTAAAAATTTGCTCATTAATATAATATTAAACATTAGAACGCTAGTTAGAAAAGAACTCGGAAAAGAATTTCCCATAATGTTAAATAAAGGACAGTAAAGGACAATATCGGAAAATAAAGGACAAAATTGAGTTTTGAAAAAACAAATAAATTTAAAGGGCAGCTACCTAAAATAAAAGACTGTCCTTTACAATAAAGGACGTATGATCACCGTATTTGATAATGGACATATATCGTATCTCGTAAGTAAAAAAGTTTAAAAAATGTTTAAAGGGCTTCGAATGTTTCGTGTTCGAAAAGTTCAAAAAATTCGTGTTCAGGCCGCTTACGGTGTAAATGATTGATATCTAGACCTATTTTGGGTCGCATTATAGGTCAGGCCGCGTAGAGATCTCTCAGTGTAAACGTAATCATTGGGCTTATTCTTTTTTAGTTGAATTTTTTACACAGTTTATTTTTCCTTTTTTCTTTCAACTTGAAGAGAAAAGGAGAAAAAAAATGAATTGTGCAAGAAGTTCAGCTACAAAAAAACAGATCTATTGTGGTTCGTATTGATATTTCACTTTTATCGATAAATGCGCGCATTTAACATATAGTTTAACACATTATCAGGAAAAGTAGTTTTGCATCATAAAGAGATGCTATTTTCTCAAGAGAAATTGTTTTTATTTAAAATTTCCTACGTTATATTTATATATATTTTGAATACGCAATTTAAATTTATATTACATAGCGTCAATTATATTATAGATATAATAAATATATAAATAAATCTAATTTATAAACAGAAAGATAATAATTAGAACACTGTACCGAATTTTGGCACGATTTATAGAAACATAGATAGATCGTCTAGAGCGGATTTTACGAACGAGCTTTCAGTTCGATCCTTCTTGTCAATGACTCTTTACTTTAAACTTTAAACCCAAAGTTCACGCCAATAGTGGAAATCGAGCGTCAATCGAGGATTAGCGGGGTTTAGCCGTTCAGTTCAATTGAGTTTCCGTAGCGTCCGTTCCGCACGAGCTTCTCCGTAACGTTTTGTCTTCATCACAGACTTATATAAGTTTGTGGTGTTCGTTACGGTAGCGCGAGCCGGAGACAGCTGACAGCCAAGGGTTTCTCAACGAACTTTTAAAACGCGCTGTACTTACGTATACACCCGACAAACTTTAGAACGCACGCACGTTAAATCGTCAGTTCATCCGCCGCGTTTTTCGCGAAATCCCACGCGACGATAGAGATTAACAATAAATACAGTTTGTTTTGTTTTCGAATGTCGAGGGAGTGCAATGATGTATCGCGCGATTGTTTAGCGAGCTAATTCGTGCGGTAACGTTCTGCCATAGATTTATAACCTTCGTTCCTATAACACGTCGCCACTTTATCGCTGACATGATTGTAAGTTATGGCGATTCACGCCGATTTGCATTTAATTTTTTCTTTTTTTCGATATATCTTTCGTTAAAGAGGCACACAGGCAGCAAATGTCACATGTTGAGAAATTCAAAGGCGTATGGCAAATATAAGCGATAATATTTTAATAAGTTCTCTATGGAAAAATGTAAAGCAAGCTATTTTGTTACGATTTAATTCTGGCATTATGACTGAAAGCATTTTATCGTCAGAAAATAATCTAAAGAATTCTTTTCTTTGTCCTTCTAATTTGTTGCAATCGAATGCTCTAATTTATAGTCCTGTTCTTTTTTCGAAGAAAATGCTGAATCGGTGTACATTATTTGTTTCACTCCAACTTAAACTGTATCAGTGTATATCAGTTCAGAACTTTCTTTGAAAAAGAAAAGGATCTATATCTGCATATTGTTATTTTAGATTTGTTTTTTATAGCTGAAACTAACGTACACTTTTGGAACTTAACTTAAATAGATATGTTTGATATTTTGTGGAAGCAAGTTTAGTACAGAAATAAAAAAAACGGATTTAAAATACATCCAGTATTTTACATTTGAAGTTTTGTTCCAAGATTTACTCATAAATAACATTAAATTAAATATATCATTTTTTAACGCTGTTAATTAATTTTATCGTTTACTTGCAATAAATTATAGTAGCAATTTATATATGATTGTTTTATATATGACATTAATCTATGTATCTCGCGTTGTAATTGATGTCTGATGACGCTGTTGAATATCTTTCAGGGAACTAAATATCGCGATCGTGGAAGAGGTGCCGTCAACATGTCCTCAAGAAACATTTCTTCAGAGCGTCGCTCGAAGTCCATACTCGATAGAAAAAAGCCCGTATCCGCAGGAACGTTGCCGCAAAAGACGCGATCTTCGAAGGACGAGGCCGCTGTAAAAAGTTGCGCGACAAAATCACGAGGTCTTCGCGGGCGGCGGCTTCTTTCGCAGAGAGAAAATAAAATGTTGCGCGACGACGTGAAACACAAGGTTCACTTGTCCGACGAGACCAGCGTCGCCAGCGCGAGCAACAATGATCCGATTTACATTTTACGGAAAGAGATACACGACTGGAGGGTATCCGGGCAATTAACGGACAGATTTGAGCGCGATTGTCGTCTTACCGAAGACGAAACGGAGAAGAGTTCTGTTCAAGGTAAAAAGTAAATAATAACAATTATATTTAATCTTTACTCGCGCGGTTTTTTTAACGCTATCATGTGGAGTGTTTCAATAAATATAAAGATCGCATATTCCTGGTAAGAAAGTTAAATGTACTCACATTCGCCGCGTTAAATGATCAATGGCAGTAGAACTCGGTCATTCGTGGAGAACATCTGGATCTGGTAAATCCTTGACGACTGTTTCACGGTTTTCTGAAAATTATAAAAATTTATTATTAAACGCGCTGATACTCCATATGAGTAATAACGTTAAAAAAAAACATTATATCTCTATTTTCATTGTTTCTCTTTGATGATTTACGAGAAACAAAGATTGATAATATTCCATATATTCTTTAAAAATAAATGCATTTTTTTTTAATTGACGAACAATTTGTGCTATATATAATATGTATAAATAGTATACAATTTATTGAATTTATAAGACGGGGATCAATCAGAATCTGGTTATCTCAACTAGAATTATAACAAATTCAATCAGAGAAAATTCTGATTTGTCCATTTTCAACCAGAATTCCAATTAATTCCAACCAGACTTTTTCCAGTATATGTAATATCGTTGAAACAAATAATTATTATAATCTATATAATATATTTTAATTAATAAATGTTTTCGAGTCATGTGATGTAACAATGCGACTGTTTTGTGGTACACGAAATTATAATAAGTTGTATTCTGTATAATTTGTTATTTGAAAGTTTTACGCTGAGGATGGTTCGAACTTGAACCGAAACGTACGAAATTGAATTTACCTATGTTTGTAATAAAGTTTTTCTACAATTAAATAATTATAATTTAATTTGCGCACCGTTAAGCACGATGACTCCTATAGCATTTATATTATAATTGTAGTTTGAATTTTGAAGAGTCCGAACAGTGATATTTTAATTCCCTGGCGAAAACTTTTAGTGAGACATTGTGTTTATACCTGTTTAGTTAGCGTTTTATCAATGGTTATATTGTTTATGAAGAGTTTTATCGATGGTTGCGTTGTTTAAGATTGTTTATGAAGAGTTTTATTGATAGTTACACTATTTTGAAGCACAATAGAGGATTTACAAGGTGTTTGCAAACACCTTGTAAATCCTCTATTGATTAACATTTTATGAACGCTTAACTATAATGGAAATGTTTGAGATTATTCTTTAAACGCCATTGTAACATTTCATAAGAAACGCTTTGAAAACAGTCGCATAACGCTGACTTCACATGTGCATCAAAACATCTCCCAAACATTCTGTTTATAAACAAATAATAAACATCTCCACAACATGAAGATCTCTATTAAAGGCAGTATAGAAACGCAAGTCAAACATTTCTCAAATACTCAAACACAGGACCTGACATGTCTTTCCGATTATATTAAGTGTATTAGTCATGTTCCGTTCGAGCTGCGATCAATGCGTTTTTTAACTTGATACTTTTTAGTGAATATTAATGGTAATTAGTTGATCTAATGTTGAGACGAATTCCTTCTATGTCTTGGGGTGAGTCACCAGTTTTATTATTAAAATTTGAAACTTGTTCAATAGAAATATTTATAAGATAATTTTAATGTTTCGAATAGATTATAACATCAAATCTGCTAATCTGATGGTGATTTTTTCTTTGATATGAAGGGATTGATATTTTAAATTTGTTTTGCTGAAAATGGTTCCAAAGTGAACTGAAACGTACTATTTTTGGAATAAAGAACCTATTTTTTGGATTGAAGATCGCGTATTAATTACCACGCTGACTCTCATTCGCCCTGGTTTTGGAGTTTTTTGTTGTTGAATTTGGGAGAGTCCGTAAGAAGATTACATTATTATTGGTTGGAATTATAAAACTCATTTTCATGATTTTATATAGAAACAAGTCACGAATAAAACTATGAAAATGTGGTTTATTGTAAGTAAAAAATCTTTTTTAATGAATTTATGTCATATTTTGCGTTGCATGCAAATGGATAAAACAAAATATGAGAGATAAATTCTTTTTTTTATTTTTATTTATTATTAGATCACTTCATAACTATCATAAATATTCAATAAATGTTCTAAAGTTCAAATAAAACATCTTCTAAACATTTAAGTAAACTTAGATGTTTATTGAAAGTTTATAAGAAGTTTGCTTAAATGTTGAGAAGATGTTTCATTTGAACTCTAAAACATCTATTGAATTGTTCATAAGATAGAAATTTAAACATGGAATTGTTTAAGAGATGTTCACGATTATGTTTCATAGGCGTTTAGGAAGTGTAAGATGATGTTTCTGGAGTGTTGCAAATGTTCAGTGGAAAGTTTAATTCAAACATCCTCTGAACATTTCCAACACTCCAGAAACATTACCTCACACTTCCTAAACGCCTACGAAACATAATCGTGAACATCTTTTAAACAATTCCGTGTTTAAATTTCCATCTCATAAACAATTCAATAGATGTTCTAAAGCTCGAATGAAACATCTACTCAACATTTAAGCAAACTTCTTATAAACTTTTAATAAACATATTATTTTCGCCAGGGTTGTTAATGTTTTCGAGTCATTTGATTCTAAAGTAAATTATCAAATTATAAAACGCATTTAAATTGAAATATGAATTAATGAAATCATTAAGAATTTTTCTCATCAAGGATTCCAAGGATTTATCTTACATCAATTTTAAGGAAAACCGCGTTTAATAATAAATTTTTATAATTTTCAGAAAACTGTGAAACAGTCGTCAAGGATTTACCGGATCCAGATGTTCTCCACGAATTACCGAGTTCTACTGCCATTGATCATTTAACGCGGCGAACGTGAGTACATTTAACTTTCTTCTTATATGTAATATATGCGATCTTTATATTTATTAAAATTTTATATTTGCTTGCGCGAAAACACACGCGTGTTTCGTTAAAATGAATTATTATTCTGGATTATGTGTTGAAATAATCGTACGCGTTTATTTATGATTCGAACAATTATACTTTGTAATACATCGCGAGAAGTAACAGGAAATGACAATCGCAGAATTTGCTCGATTGAGTAATAAAATCCTTTCTTTTTTTAGATACGGTCAGGTTTTATTTTGACAAATATCACCTATGATATCCGGTTATCGTCGACGCGTAATTCAATCGACCGGTTACATCCTGTATTCATTTTTCTCCGCGGCGATAGTTGCACAAACGACTTTTTCCATCGATTGTCGGAACCGCGTGTCCGGTCCACTCGTTCGCGTAGCGCGAGAGTTATCACGGTGCGAGTTATTTTCTCGCCGTGACTTACAAGCCCCGGTTTTTGTCCGGTGCGGTTCACCAGCGCGTTGTTACCCGCCAGTGATTTCTTGTCAGTGTCTCAGGTAAAGCAATGGCTCGAGAAATGAGGTAAGTGAGTAACATTTCTGCTTGCAGTGCACGTGTGATGCATGCGACACACATCGTTTTTGCGACTGTATTTTTATATATGCACGTATTTTTATAAACACGAATCTGGCGTCGATCAAACCGAATTGAACTGATTAAAAAATAGAGAGAGAAATGGAAAGAGAGAGAGGTGTGCATTTATTAAAAAGCTCTGCCATTGATCATTTAACGCGGCAAACATGAGCATATTTAATTTTCTTATCGGGAATATGCGATCTTTATATTTATTTAAATTTTATATTTGCTTGTTGATATTCCCTCAGGCGCACAAAAATATACATTGTCAAAAATGTTCAGTTAAGTATAGTCTTAAGATGTCGTGAATCGATCAGAGAGTCATATTAGCACCTTAAGACATTACTCAAGACTATCTTAAAATAAGATAGACTATGAATACCTCTATACTCTCTATAACACTTGGCTCTTAATTTTTATTACAAAATGCTAAAATCTACAGTTGAAGAATAAAGTATTTGAACATACGAAAAATAGGAATGAGGAATTATTGGATAATTATATAAAAATAGAGAGAGAGAGAGAGAGAGAGAGAGAAGAAAATAGTATATAATATACACTGTTCAAAAAAATTATGGCATAGAAAAATTATGGGTAAAAATTGGCCAACTTTGGCTAACGATAATTTTGCGAAAAATTATCGTAGAATAATGTTTCTTTTTTTTTTAATTAAAGCTTGAAATCTCTTCTTTTTTCGCACACACACGCTGTGCAAAATCCGACAGCAATCTCGTCGTGGAGCATATCAGATAATGATAATGTCCATACATGTAAAAAATACAAGGGTAACTTTAAGGTGCTGTAACTTTGCGAAAAAAAATCGCAGCGACATGTTTTTTTTTTTTTTTAAATTAAAGAGAAAAGTTTGAACTTTATGTCGCTGCATACAGCATTCCCTAAAAAAATTTTACAAAGTCCGTGCATTCCGTTAAACTTTGCAATTTTCAATATGACAAACACATATTTTTGAGAGTTACAATGGCAGAGGTGTATCGAACTTAAAATCTGACCATAACGTCTTAAAGAAGAGATTTCAAGCTTTAATTTAAAAAAAAAGAAACGTCATTCTACGATAATTTTTCGCAAAGTTATCGTTAGCCAAAATTGGCCAATTTTTGCCCACAATTTTTCTATGCCATAATTTTTTTGAGCAGAGTATATATATATATATGCATATAAAATAGAAAGAATGTATAAGAGAAAGAGAGAGGGGGGAGGGGGGCTCGTGTCTGTTACGTAAGTAACTGTAAATAAAGAATGAGAGAAGCACGGCTGTTCGTCTCTACCTGCTGCGCTCGCACACCCACCGAGAGCAGGACTACGTCATTCTGGAATTTTCGAAAGTTTCGTCTAACCGGTTCTCAATCGCGCGCGCCCGAGACCCGTTCGTGACTCGCCACCGATAATGCCTTCGCCTGCGGTGGGATGCACACCGCGTACCGTTTGCTGGAAGCCGATCATCGTTCACCGATCCCCTGACGTTCTCGCGCGCGAGCGAAATCTCCCGCAATATAGTGCGACTCGCGAAATATACGTGGATATAAATTAAATGTTTGATGTGTTCAGCAGAAAAAGTAGCAGTTTAACTGAAACAAGGGAGTTAAACAATTTAATTCAAGAAATTGCATTTAATTTTACTCAAATTTAATGTAATATTTACTAAGTGCATATACTCTCTAATATGGACTATTGCTTACTTTAAAACTAACTACAGAAATACGCGGAAAATATATTTACATTTTCAAGGACGATTACGATAACTTTAGCCCCTCAAAATGAAAACGTTTTTCAAAAGCATTTTTAGCAAGAAACACACGAGAAAATTAGTAAAAGATTTCTACAGGCATCAAAATAACAATTACAAACGGACAAAAAGGAAAAACGGATTTCAGTCCACAAACAAAAAGTAAAGCGATCCTACCTGAGGTGTACCTCACCTCCTTCCCCCTATCTTGACTGTCTCTAAAGGACTACGACTTTCCATGTGAAACAAGATCTACCTTCTCTCTTTACCTAGGGGCATCCGACTTTTCAAGCAAAGCGAGGTTCACCCCACCCCAAAATATGGTTTGAGTTAGGTTACTTTCTTTGGTGGTGGAAAGGGTGGAGCATACTGCCATGCATATACTTTACAAAGCGAGAGCCATCTCACCTCCTTTCCTGCCTAAGGGAGGATCTGCACGTCCCACTTTCCACGCATAGCAACGTCCAACCCTATCCCCTCTCCCGCCTAAAGGGCTTCGACTTTTTATACAAAGCGAGGTGCATTCTACCTCCCCTGCCTTTTGATATTTGTTAATTAAAGAACTTTTTTACTATTTTTCTCGTATTTCTTGCTAAAAATGCTTCCAAAAGTCATTTTTATTTTGAAGAGCCAAAATTATCGTAATTATGCCCATTTTTACATATAAAAGTTAAAATTAAAAATTAAAAGAACATGTTATTGGACTCAAGATATTGAATTACCATTACTCCTTTGGTATTTAACAGTGCAATGAGGAAAGAGCGTAACAAGAATCAATCTTAAAGAATTTTACAGCAGTTGCAAAACTGCTTTTTCTTATACTGAATGCAACAAATTCCTGCGCCTTTATCCGCGATCAACATTTGATCATATCCGTAAAACATAAGATAAAAATTATAATAATTTAATTAGAAAATATTATTATCTCAGTTTGATTGCGTTGCAAGACAAATAATTGGCGCGCAGTTATATCTGAGATAAAAATTAATGAAATACATATAGATGTTAAGATGTATTATTCCAACGTCTGACTCTGATCGTAACTGACGTTTCTCATACTTAACTGATTTATTCATATAAGCGGTTCTGTGTTCTAATCTTAATATTATAAATAAAAATGATTTTTCTTATGCAAGCAGAACGATAGATTACAACAATATCAAAATAACTTAAAAACGAATCGTGACCGATAAAAAAGTGAAAAAAGTGACTTTTAATAACCATGTTGGAACCATTTTGACATCACTTTGATGTCACAATGACTATTTGTTTTGCTTGGGTAGATTCTCGGTATATTGCGGCAATGTAAATATTAAATATCGTACAACGCGATTACAAAGAGCGACGGCGGTTTATTTACATTCGCGAAATCGACGAGCAGGGAATATTGCTGTCAACGCAACGATACGTGTGAAAAACGATGTCGAACCGAGTCGCATGATGTAGAATTAAAATTCCGTTTTCGACGCGAACGGCAGAGAAGCGACTTTGCCTCCACGGTCGAGGACGAATTCGGCGACTCGTTATTCGACGCACGGTCCGGCGTGCGCCGAAAATATATTTTTACTACTTAAGCACGCGAGCCGCATGCGTCCCGCTTCATTAAGCACACGAGCTATTGTTCTCACTAACCTACAGCACTGTGTGTCTCATTATCATTTTTCGTGACGCCGTTGCTAAAAGATTGAGGATCTTCTTGTTTTGCGCGCCTTCACGAAAATCCCTTGAAATGCGTCACGTTTCATGGAATCGATTTCATCTAGGAAGTAGACAAATTAACCTTCGTCAGCTCCTCAGGTCGAATTGGATTGTTTTTCTGATACCTTCCGATTAATCCTCTGAAGCTGAGTCAGTGGATCTTCTATTGAATCTACTTCTAATAATCTACAATTATAAATCTCTGAGTCGAAAATGTCAAACAATTACATTTTTGTGTTACATCTGCAAATTTGAATTATTTTTATTAAAATTTATTTACAATTAGTATTTATTCCTTTTTATGAATTGTGTTATTTTTGTTTCTTGAATTAATTAGTACGTTTTAAATTATAACATAAAATTTTTATTATCAATTCCAGCCAGGACTTTGCAGATAATTTACTATTGTTTTATTACTGATTGTTTTCGAAACTGTGATCATTAAAATGGAAATCGGATTACTCTTGATAGTCAACGTGAAGCTTCTTACGATTAAATTAGATGATCACAATAAATTCTGTCGCTTCTTCGAAAACCTTATTCTTATTCACGAGAAATATCGTCGATAACACAAAAGTATTGAACCGATGCTTTAATTAAACAATTTAATTTAATTGGGTCAGTCAAAATCGAAGGTCGGATAAGAATTAAAAGATTAAACTCGATAAGGATTTTCATCATGAAATTGAGATCTCGACCTTACATCTGATAATTAAATTCATGGTATAATCAGAAAGATTGAATTTCAATTTCGTACGTCAAGTTCTATATCGATTTCTTTCAATTCGAATTCGTTTTCACGGATTAACTACGGTAAATTTTCCACGCTTACGAATTTCTTTTCCGAGAGACGATTTCGTTTTTACAGTCCAATTTTTCGGAATGATAAATTCATGCTCGCTCTGTTTGAAATCGAAACGGCGACAAAGTAACA